TTTGATATTATAACCATACTTTAAATATCATATTCAAGAAATTTCCATTAAGAATCTAGAAAGAAAAGGTTTAAGAAAAGAAATTGTAGAAACACAAATTTCACCTTAAAATTAAAAAAAATATGTCTTATTGAAAATATAGAAGAAGAAAAGTAAGGAGAAGTAGAAAAATGGCAGAAAAAACACAGAAAAAGCCGAAGAAGCGTCAAAAGAAGGAACCAAAAAAGAAGATGTTGGAAAAGAAACGAAATAAGGAGCAAAAAAGCAAAAAAGAAACATAATCAGAATCAAAAAATAAACAAACGAAACTATTAATCTAATAAAGTTCATAAACAATTTTTTTAAGGAACAAATTTAATGTATATAGGGACAACTTAATAATCTCTCATTTCTATCCTACCTTTCCCCCATATTAAACAAGATGTCGCGGATTATATGTAATAAAATGCTTATTACTCGGATAACCACAGCCAACCACACCGACTAAATTATTTTCCTACATCACGTAACTTATTTTCTACGTCATTTGTAACGTAGACGTAATCGACACTTAACCGGATCCTCTCTTCAAACAGAACACGTCGCGCAGATATTTTCTGTAACATTATCTTAAACTCCGAGAGAAGGAAAAAGACGGTTTTGACAGAATGCCAATTATAGAATAGATGATGGGCTCGTATTTGGAGATTGGGTTTGGATTTTGCTCGATTTTTGATAGAATATTGAACTCTCTTGTCCTTTTCGATGTAAGTTGATAAACATCGGTCCGATGGATACGCGTTAGATTGATGCGACATATGTTTTGTTGCTTTTAAATGAAAAAAATATGCTGTATTTAATATATATGAATTACATTAACACTTTTAAAACTAACTAATCAAAACCGTTTTAATATTTAACAAAAAATCAATAAATATAAAAAATACTTCTGCTTTTTTTAAATTAAATACGAAGTCAACAAACATTTCAAACCAAAGAAAACGATAAAGTATTTTTTCTTCCTGAGGTTTTATCTTTAGAGATTAGATCCATACAAGTATCAAATTTTTTAAACTATTTGAAGATAATAATCAGAAAGCTAAATCTTTTGTCGGTTTTACTAGTATATAAGACAAAACCAATTTGAATTAAATATTTTTTATTATTATTAATATTAGCATAATCTTATTACTAAAAAATAATCGAATTACATAAATTAAATTTTTGTTTTACACTAAAAAAAAAATGTATAAATATAAATCAAACACTAAAATTTAAAAATTTAGTATTATAATCGAATTAAATTACGGGTTTTGAGCTTACATTAAATTGTAATTAGATGAAACAAAATGGATTCTATGTATTTTAAGGTGATCTTTTTGAAAAAAGGCAAAACAAAATGTAGCAGTTTTTCGAAAGTGCCGAAATTTTGGATTTTGTCAATTTTTCAATTTTGCGCAGGCGCATGTCGGAAATAAATCAATATTTTTAAAACGCAGTTTACGTCATTTGAAAGCTTAGAAAAAATGCTAATTTTTATGTCTCTTAAGAAATTTTAATCCGATGCACCGTTCTCGCGGTATAGACGATTGAAATTTGTTTAGTATTTTGAGGCGACGAAGGTCGAAAAATTGAATTTGTTAAATGTTCAAACACTAAATTCTTCATAACATTGGTAAAAATTAAGATATTTGAAAAAACAAAAATGCGTTTTGAACTTAAGGGATGTGACTAGTAATTCCCAGAAGGGGACAAAAGAAATCCCAAAATTGGGGATATGGCGGAAGGGCAAAGTGTACCGCGGTCCTAATTTCATTGTTTGCCTATAACGGCCAAACTATTTGAATTTTTTTAATACCACTTACGAAGCTTACTTTTAAATGTGAAATCTTATGTGTATGTGAATTTCACCGACATCGGATCATAATTGGCTAAGATATCAAACAATTAAATACATTTTTTTCCTTGAAAAAAAATTAATTTTTTTTTCGAAAGTTTGAAAAGGCACAAAAATGCCAAAAATGCACCCAATGGCTCAAAACTTTTTTTTTGAGTACTCTATTGTGTCTAGAATACGATTACATTACGGAAAATTCTGCAAATATATTTTATCTATTTTTTTGACCACTGTTCATTGAGTGACTACCAAAAAACACGGTTTTAAGTTACAGTTTACCCGCAATGTTTCTGCATACCATTAGGGCTTTTGTGGCCTTATTTTCTACTTCCTTCTTATGTGTTATCCAGAAAAGTTTATTGTCCAGGGTTAGGCCTGGATATTTAACTACATTTTTCCATTCTATGTCTATGCCGTCTAATTTAACGGTTCTGAGATTCAGTTTTCTTTTCCTTGAAAAAGATACTTGTGTTGTTTTTGTAGTCCTCTTTCACAGCACCATCTTTTGGTATGTACTAGCCCTCGTTGGACTTTATTACACAGGGTATTTCTAAACTTGCCTCTACCAAATATGACTATGTCGTCGACATAACCTTGAAGAAAGATAGCTTCCGTTTGGATTCTTTTTCGAGGGGAGCTTCCCTCGCCAATGAGTAGTGAGAGGGGGATGGAGAAGATAGAGCGATGGTGCTCCTCTTCTCTTCTCCCTTCACCTCTTTCTTTTGTTCTTTCACTTCTCTCTTGTGAGGTTGTCTCACTTGAGATGGAAGGCTCCGTTTGATTAGATTTGGTGGCCGTGTAGTCCCGCCAGTTTTTATTTTCTTTATATTTCTTGCCCATGTAAATCCCACGAACAGCTAATGAAGGAAAAGTCGACCGACGCAGAGCCCCGCATACGCTGGCAAGGCTGAATACAAGACGGTTTCGCCAGGTGCCCCTAGAGGAACGTTTAAAACCGCTTTCTCAGTGGACATTCAGCCTTCAGCACGTTGGCTTGGGTTATTGATGGAGTGCCATTTAGTTAGTTAATGAGGCAGACACTCGATGATTGTATTTCTCCATTGGTATGCAGGAAGAGTTACCTACAAGCGGACAAGCAAGCAAACAAACAAGCAAGCAAGCAAACAAGCAAGCAAGCAAGCAAGCAAGCAAGCAAGCAAGCAAGCAAGCAAGCAAGCAAGCAAGCAAGCAAGCAAGCAAGCAAGCAAGCAAGCAAGCAAGCAAGCAAACAAGCAAGCAATCTAAGCTACGAAGCAATGGCTAAGCTACAACCAACTCCGCTCAGTCATAGTTTAATGATATTCCGCTGCCATGCTTGTCGGCGTATTGAATTCCTATAAACATACTAAAAATAAACAATAATCAGTGCACTAAACTTCTTAACTACTTACTTTCAAAAAACTTGCAAAATCAAACGAATACATAATATAGTTAGAAAAACATAAACGGCTGAGCTTGGACAATGACATGACATCTGATATTTCCAAATAGTGTCGCCAACAAATTTTCAGATAAAAAGGAAAATTCCCAAAAATTTCTAGATTTAAAATAAGAATCATAAATCAATGCAAACACTAAAGATAAATAGAATGTAAAACAATGGAGGTATAGAATCGATGTAAATACGTGCGCAGTTGAACGCTTCATTTCGGAACGTGAAAAATTTGTCAGTAAATGATGTCATAGTATGTCACAATGACTTCTAAAAAAGGATGTATGAATAACCTTATGAGAATTACCTTATGAATAACAAAAACTCGCAGTGTATTAATGACAAATACGTTTACTTTGTTCGCAACAATTGTGTTTACATGTCAAATTGGTCTGAAGATGATGTAATTATTACGTTACTTTTGCGTTAAAAATTCACATCGACGTATTTGACCAACCAGAACATGACGTGAAACGACGTTTGGTAGTAGCTGGGTTATTGCCATGTCTTAAAGGGCCCTTAACGATATATTTTTTGTACTTTTTGAAGTTTACAGTCCATCGATTTCATGCATAACGTGCTCGATCTGATTTACATCTGGCCTTTCCTCTTTAGTGTAATGTGAAGATGAAGAGTGAAATGAGCTGATTAAATTTTACCTTTAGATTAAAACCGTGCCATTTGCCCTGCAGGTCATAATGGAGCGTGTAGGGCCTCCATTAGTCTAAAGCCGTCTCCTAGGTATGGAGTCTTATGCTACGTTTCAATATCCTTAACCGATGCATTTTTTACATCTCGAGCGTTTGTTTATAGATATCGGACACATCTACCTACTACATTTATCTATATTGAGTCACGTGACCAAAGATTTACAACATCGCAGATGCATCCGATGTGGATATTCAAACGCATAAAAAAATGGATTTGTAACCATAAAATATTTATACTAAAAGTGGTTGGCAAGCGTCTACGGATTAAATATATATCGAGGCACGCAACTAAAAAGATGGTTGCTAAGCGTTGCTAGAAAAACAAGACAAAATGTGATTTCTGCGACTTTCCTTGTTTATAATGACATTGCAATTTTCGTTAATAGAATGAATTTTTCTCAATTTCTTTTTTGTTCTTGTTAATAAATACGTTAAGTGTCATCTGCGTGGGCAAGGCAAAAAAATATAATCATTATTAATACTTGTTCTGTAACAAACTGGATTAATGACTATCAAATAGAAAAAGTAAAAAAAAATAAGTTCGAAAACTCCAATTTAAGTTTCAGATATCAATTAAAGGCAACAATTGTCGATTTTTTTTCAGTCTAACTCGTAAAATCAGGTACAATCTCCGATCCGTGGCACAAAGAAACTAGACCAATTAAGGCTATATTCAACTTCGACGAAAGAAACAAAATAAAATAGTTTCATTTCTAATTTGAAGAGTTTCCCAGGCGAGCCGAACGCCAAGAAGTCTGAGTCGAAGCGAGTAATCTATCAAACGGAATAGATCCCAGGGTTAGTGTGTCAGGTTTGCACGCAAACGTGTTAAGAATAGATTATTCCCGATGTCGAAAACTTTCGCTCGAATTCTAACTCTCCGTACCAAACGGTTGTTTCTTTATTTTATACAGTCCGACTTGATTGCCTTTTCAATTCTGTTTGGATGGACACTTTAAAACTAAAATCGTAAGAAAATAAA